AGGGGGAGGGGGAGAGGGGGAAGGATGAGGTTAAAGTTCCTGCTATAAGGAGCCAATGAGATATTTCATGTAGTCCCTTAGCACAGGGCCTGGCACAAAACAGGAACTCTGTAGATACCAGCTGTTCGCATTCACTTTGTCCTCCTGGACAGGAGATGCCCTTCCTCCCTTGTTTTCTGTCCTCCCTGATCCATGTTACTGGGATTTGAACCCAGGGGTGCTCTATTACTGAGCCGCACCCCCAGGCCAATTTTATTTTGAGTTAGGGTCTTGTTAAGTTGCCCAGGCTGTCCTAGAATATGAGATCCTCTTGCCTTAGCCTCTCAAGTAGCTGGGACTAAAGATGTATGCCACTGTGCTTCGAACTGGAACTCCCATTTCTGAGCCTTCATTCATCTATCTTCTCCTCCTGGGAGGACATTATTCTTCAGTTGTTCCTCTGTTCCTTCTTTCTTTCATCACATATCCAGTCAGCAAACATTAGCATCTTCTCTAGGCCCAGTTCTAGACACGAAGGGGCATTCAATAAACAAGACCAGGCCCTGTCTTCGGGAAAACTCAAGCTTTTTGGGTCCTTTCTTTGCCTCTCAATTTCTTGAAAACCAAACAAGACCCCTGTCCAATGCCACCTTCCCCAAACTGCCTTTCCTGGTCCCCTTCCCCAGCAAAGGCTCTGCTTCTCCAGCCCTGCCTGGCCTCCATAGTTCCTTTTCCACAGAGGATGAATGAAGAGGAAACGGGACAAGTTTTGTACCCAGATAAAAATGCAGGGATGAAGAGGGAGGTTTTGCAAAATAGGGCCTGGGTAATAGGTGAGACTTCAACACTGCTGCAAAGTGAGGCTTGTGGCCTGAGGGACGTGCTAGATCCCTTGCATTTGGGGGCCCTGGGCCTTGATCACACGCTGAGGGCTGATTGGCGGGCGTGGAGTCTGGGGGGCTCCATCTGCCTCCCTTCCTTTGCCAGGTGGGGCCCCCACCTGCCTGTGACTCTGGAGGACTTTGTGGCCCTCTGACTCAGGCCATAGTTGGCTGGGAGGAGCAGTGTGTTGGCAGTGGGTCAGTGCTGTCCTCCAGCCTACCTGGGAGGCTACAGTAGGGGCAGGGAGGGCAGGCCCCATAGTGGGCAGCTCGTGAAGGTGGGGGCTCCATCCACCTCCCCATCTCAAAGCTTTGTCCTTCCCCTCAGGCCCTTTGCCTCTTGGTGACAATGTGACTTGGCAGCTAGGAGCACTGGCTTTGGGATCAGATGGGCCTGTGTGGCCTTAAGCAGTCCTGTCACCGGGCTTTCTTTTTGGTTTTTTGAGACAGGGTCTCACTATGTAGTTGAGACTGACCTGGAATTCACTATGTAGCCCAGGCTGGTCTTGAACTCACAGCGATCTGCCTGCCTCAGCCTTCCGAGTGCTGGGATTACAGGTGTGCGCCACAACGCCGGCTCGTCACTGGGCTTTCAAGATGTGGTAGGGAGGATGGACTGGCAGGTGAGGCTCCAGGATAAATGCTGACTGTTCAGCTGGCTGCCAGGGGCAGTGTCCCACTAGTGTCCCTCTGCCCCTCCATGCGGTGCTGTCTTCCCCAACCCCTCCCCAGCCTGAGCTGGGGCAGGGGGTCTGCCATCAGCTTGCCCTTGTGGAGGCATGGATGCTGTCTCTGAGCTGCCAGCATGGCCACCAGTCACCAGTTGTGGGGTCTCCTGATGCTGCTGCAGGGTAGCCCAGCATGAAGCTCTGGGAGACACACGCCAGTGCTTTGCAAATGCTTTTGGCAACCACTCCATCAGCCACCGCCCTCCACAGCCCTTCACTGTGCCATCTCCAATCTTTACAAACTTGGACACTCAATGCAAACCTCATTTTTCCAGTAAGGCCCAGAGAGGAGAACTGATTTGCCCAAGGTGACACATTAGACACCTGGTTAGTGATGGAGCGGTCTGTCTGGCTCCAGAGGCCAGGCTCTGTTCCTAGCCACTTGCCTCTCCTGAGGTCTCCAATCACAGGGAAGCGGCTGTGTCGCCCCTCTCATTTATAACTGTCATTGCCCTGCCCTTGCCCTGGAATGTGATCCTGGAGGCTGTCTATATCTTTTGCTGTGCTCTTTGAACTCCAAGGAGGGTCATCCTCTGCCCAGGGGACTAGTAAGTGCCTCATCTTATCTACTGGGCCTACTCAGCCAGAAAGCCAGGACTCAGCCTGTGCTGGCCAGTGTGAGGTGACTCAGCCCCAGGCCTGCCCTCATGAGGCTTCCAGACAGGGGATGGGGACATGGTTCAGGAGAGTGTATCTAGGTTTCCCAAGTAGGACACCAAGTGCAGACCAGGAAGGGCACAGCTTGTTTGGCAGGCAGGGTCAGGTGCTCCCTGCTGCCTCCCTCCTCACCTTAGTGGGGGCCACTGGGTTTTGGCTCCATGGGAATGTTCGTATTTCCAAATGCCAGTCAGGACTGGGCAAGGGGCTGTCATGCAGCCCTGAGGTCCTGCCCTGGCCTCTCTCCACCTCACTTTCTCCCCCTTCAACCAGAGGTTGGACTACAACTTACTCTCTGCTCTCTGCTACAGGCACGAAGCCTGGGAGACCTGAGGCCCTGAGCTGGGCTGCATGGAGGAAGAGGCTGGGGGCAGGAAAGGGGAGACTGAGTCCAGTATGCACAGCACTGGGAACTGTGGCCAGGGCTCTGCCTCTCTGGTCTCAGTGTTCTCATCTGTAACATAACATATTCAGCTTTTGAATCTTGCAGTGCTTTAAAACAAGAGGCATCTCTTTGTGCCCAGTGACCCAAGGTTCCCAGACAGAAAGAACCCTGACAAAGAGTGTCCATCCCCACAGTGACAAACATACCCTCCTCTCCCCTGGTCACTCCTGCATCTCCTCCAAGAGATACACAGTTCAAGGGCTGCAAGGTGACCATCTCAACATCTAACCACTCTGAAATCAGGACGGCTGTCTCCAACGGTGTTATCAAGAGCGTCTGATTCAGGATGTTGGTGGTGAGATGCAGCCCCTCCTAGACTCAGTGTCCCAGGTGCCCTCTCCTGGGTCCTCCTAACTGTGCCATAAGGCTTGACCAGAGTGCCATAATGACCGGGTTTACATAGGCAGTATCTAGGGACATGGAAACATGCCCCCACAGTTAACAGTTAACAGTCTGTGTAACTGGCCAAAGAAAGTGACGTCAGCCCCATAAACCACAAAAGTAGCTTGCTGCTGCCACAGTGGAAAGTAGGCCCAATGCTGTTCGTAGGCCCAGCCTTCTCCTGCCTTCCATCAGACCCCAGCGCCTGCACTACTCCAGAGATAGGAGGTCACTGGGATAGGAAAGGAGGAAGAGGGCCTGGGATGTAGGTCAGTGGTGTGTCATGCCTGTCTGGCAAGTGCAAGGTCCTGAGTTCAATTCCTGGTACAGAAAAAAAAAATATTTCAAGGAAAAGAGGAAAAGAAAAACTCAAACTCACAGGGTCCCAGCCCTCCTATTCCTTGCTGGGGTCCAAAGAGGCACAGCAGGTGGGTCCAGCCCCTGCCCCTGGCTAGGGACTTGGTGGCTGCTGAGTCTACCTGGACAGTTGCTAGCATGTTGGGGAAGGACTGACCCTCGACAGGCCTGGAGCACCCATCATGCACTGGGTGTCCAGTGGAATTGTCTGTCAGCCATCAAATACCTCTACCCCATGGTGTTGTAGCGAGGAAATCAAGGCTCAGAGAGGCTAAGTGAGTCACTAAGGGGCACTAAGTTCAGTAGAAAAGCTGAGGTGCCTACCCAACTGTCCAACTCCAGAGGTGGCAGGCTCTTCCTCTCCAAGGTGGAGCCCTGGGGTGGGCACTGTAGTGGCAAGGGCTAGAGAAGAGATGTCCTGAAAAGGACATTTGCCAACTCTCTGTGAGTCTTTCCTGTGTGCAGGCTTGAAGCTGAGCACTTGACCTTTATTTATTTATTTATTTTTGGTACCAGGGATTGAACTCTGGTCCTTGTGCTCGCGAGGCAGGCAGCAGAACCACTGAGCTAAATCCCTGGCCCTTGACCTTTATTAACTCCCTCCCTTATTAACTCAGGTGGGTGTTAACAATATTCCTATTATGCCGTTGAGGAAAGGGCACAGAGAGGGTAAAGCATTTGCCCAAGTGCACACAGCCGCAAGTGGCAAAGACATGATTTGAAACTTGCCAGTCTGGCTCCAAAGTAATCATTCTTTTAGCTAAACTATTCCAAGTGTTCTCTCAGGCCCTGCTGTGTACCCAGGTGGCCTGATTCAGTCCCTATGACCCCCTCCCAGGAAGGTGCCATTCGTCTCACTTTACAGAGAACATCACTGGGGCCTTCCCTCACAATGGCAGAGTGGGAAGAACTCTGCCCTTAACCCTAGGCCCTCCCGCGGGACGCCCCGGGGGCTTCATACACCAGTGGCAGCTGTGCACAGACAGGACAGACACACTGGGCGCCGCCAGGGACGTAAGGCCGTGGGCACTGACACTTACCTCGGGGAAGGCCCCGATGCCGAAGGCCATCAGCAGCGACGTCTTCCCGCAGCCGCCGTCGCCCACCAGGACCACCTTGACCGACAGCCTGTTGCCTGGCGCCTCCTCGCCCGCGGCTTGGGCCGCCCTCATCCCGGGCGGAGACGGGGCCAGAGCGGAGTGGAGCTGCG